TTAATTGTGAATGTTATTGCCTTTCTTGTTGTTTTATCGTATTTCATGATTGAGTTGTTATTGTATTATAGTTGTTCTCTTATAGTTATGTTTTGCTAAATATGGACGATTCCGGTGCCGATTGCCCTATAATAATTGCCTCTGACATTTCTGGAAGTTTTTCCAATATCTTAATCAATAATCTAATAATATCTAAATAAATGTTACAAAAGTTATAATAAAAATTTCATTTTGTTTTTTTGTCTGGGCATAAATATAACTAAATTCTATTCTAATTATACACTTACAATTAGAATTTATCAACATAACAGATAGATAGTTATAGTTCCATATTGGCTTGGGAGTAAAAGATGAATTTAGAAAATTCAAGCCCAACTCTTTCAGACTACTTAACGTTCAAAGTTTTTATATAAAACTATTATATATATTTTTAAAATTAATCTTGAAAATAAAATGTTGTGCACTGCTGCTTCTGTGATCCTCTTTTTTCTAATGTTATAATGAATGGAGTATATAATTGTTTGTTTGCATTAAATTGGCTCCTAAACTAATACACCCATTTCTGAATAAATTTTGTATATCATATGCAGACGCGCGTGACATGTTACTGATGCCTATCTCCATCTCTATTTCAGCAAGCTACATCGAGGTGTGCAAGCGGGACCCAGCTACTATTAATGAATGTGTCCGTCACTCCATAGAGACTTTGAAGCCGCGTCTGTCAAAAGGGTTGCCTGAGCTCGGTGTTCCTGGCATCGAGCCCTTCTTTATTCCCGAGGTATCGACCGTTATCATAATTTACCTAATAAGTTGAAAATAAGATATCAGGTGTGCGACCACCTAACTTTCTAGTCATGCCGGCTGTGTCCTCTGTCCTTCAGAGACACAATGATCGCTGTGATCAAATAAAAAGTTATAAAACCTTGATTTACTGTTCTTTATTAATTTAATCACAAATAACATTATTTAACAAATGATTGCTTAGTGTCGTCTCAATAGAGAAGGAAGAAAGCAGTGTTACCATCGTTCAAAAAGGTTTTTTGAGATGCCATATAAAACATAGATAATACATAACACCGGGCTAGGCATAGAATACGACATCTCAGCTGTGATAGGGTGAACTTCGTTTCATTTTACTACTATGATATGTATTAATGACGAACGAATGATAAAGAATGATGATTAAGGATTTGACAGCAGTGTTACCAACTGTTGTTTAACCAATAAAAAGATACAACGTCGCTAAGATGTTGTATTCTATGACAAAATGTTATGCGACCCCCTAGCTATCTCGCTGTACTGCTAGATATCGCTATAATTTTTTTTTATTGATTTTAAAAATAATTATGTTAATACTCTTTATAACGATATTTTTATTAAAGCATTAGGATTATTCCTGTTTTCAAAATAGCTCTGTTCTAATCAATAAAAAGTTATTATACCTGTGAATAGAGTTAGAGCGAGAGAGTTGGGCATTCCATCTTCAGGTTTCAATTGCAATTCCGGTGAGCGGGATAGGTGTAATTATTATAGATATTTTATTTCTACCAGATTTCCTATTCTGTTAAAAATATAGCATGGAGTTCTTACAATTCTAACAATTTCCTTTTGAAGTCTGTTTCGGTACGTCGCTGTATTTTTAACGGAATAGGACCGCAGATTGCTAGTTGTAATTAAGTAATTCCAGTTAAATATTCCATATAACAATAAAACACTAATATGTAGGAATATTGACCTAGCATTTTCTGAAATGTTTACCTACTAACTAACAATATTCTAGCAATCATGTAGCATAGAATGGTAACAATAATGTTTTAGACAGGCGTTTGGTTGCGTTTAACAATTCTGAATAATTCATTCAGTCATACTGCCGGTTTTTGCCGGATTGAGAAAAATACAAAATCTCAACTGATAATTCTCAATAACTTAAGTTTTTTACGTTTCACAAGGCATAAAGTCCTAGTTTTATCAAACTACTATCAACTGATCATTAGAGTACCTAAAATCGGAAAGCTGTTTAAGTGAACTTTAAATATAGTTAGCGACGTGCTTAACTTTATATAGAAACTAGGTGTTAGTGGTGCTGTTAACAGCTAATAATAGTAACAATTCTGTTGCAAATCAGGCTAAATCTAGATAGGTTTACATTTAGCATTACCAATTGCATTTTCTGCGAAGGCCTATTCTATTTCACCGAAAACGAAATATCCAGGTTTAGAATTTAGTTTAATAATTCATTTAGATAAGGATTCATTACATAGTAATAGTAAACAACGGTTATTATGGTATTTTAATTCCCTATTCACTCCCACTTCCCTATACAATACCATTCCCATTTTCAACCCTTTATTTGCTGTTTTTCGGAATAAAACATAGTCAATATCCATTACATATTATGTTGTTTCTCGTAGGTAATTATAAGAATTTTTAAAAAAGTGTCTAGTAGTTTCGGTGCCTAATCGATGCAAAGAAACAAACAAACAACAAAATATTTCCTCTTTATAATAAATATCAGCATAGATAAATAGTAGGTCCTTACATATGAAATTGGCGTTTTGTCGTGTAAGTGGCCAGTAGGCCACTTTAATCACAAATTTCTCCTCCTTGGTTGGGAATTCCAAATTCAAATTTATACAGCCATTTACACATGTATTTGTGTTTCGTTAGGTGGCATTCATTTGTTTTTTTTTCTTCTGTTTGTCCTATTTACGTCACCCAGTATAAAAAATGTAAAACTTGAAATATCGTGTTATTTACGAATACGAGTTCCACCGTGGTACCAGCCCTGCGATTCTGTAAAACTCCAAACCCGAATTCGAATTCTATCAGGTGTCCGAATTGACTTCAAAAAGAGGCATACGCTCAACCTTGAATTGGTAATAACGTTTCGTAGCATAAGTGAAGTGAGTTTCGAAATGATATAGGAATAGAATATCTGAGACACGTGTATTCAATCAATTTTGTTTTGTATTTTTATAAAAAAAAAATGGAATCAGAATTTTTACACTACATGACGTGAATTCGGACACATGAGTGAATTCGAATTCGGGTCTGGATTTTTACAGAATCGCAGGGCTGTACTGCGGAGACTGCTCGAATGGTTAATGACGTGTGTTAATGCTGTGTATGGCGGTTGTATCGCAAAAGAAAAGACTGCGTTTTTGGTTCCAACGTTTTCGTTCTGGAAATTTCAATAAATGTATTATATTAAAAAAATTAAATATATTATATTCAAAAATATTTGACTTTTTGTTCTTCCCATACCAAACACCAATTTCATATGTAAGGACCTAATATGAATATTTTGTTGTTTTTACAGATTGCTTTAGTAAGTAGCAATGGTGGTCAGTTGCCACTCAATGCAGTCGGTAAGGACGTCCAAGTGTTTGGTGCATCAGAGTTCGCCATCAAGAGTTTGACGTGAGTTATTTTTAATAATAATATGCTCCTATTGGTATCTATAATAAAACTGTTAAAACAGCCTCGAACTCGACGTCGAGTGCGGCGCTGTGACACCATAGAGCTTCAATGAAATAAAATCTTTGTTACCTATTGAAGTAGATTTTATTGGATTGAACTTATATTTTGTGACAGTCGTCGAAGTTGAGTTCGAAGATGTTTTAACAATAGAATGGCACTGTCGGACTAGTGTGCATGGTAATATAATACATATTGTTTTGACGACCTCCTTGTCCGATGGGTTCGTACACCGGTTTCAAGTTGCCATCTCTGAGGTCCCGGATTCGATTCCCCGGGGGCTTTAGTAACTGATCTTGGAGTCTGAGCAATGTGTGCGATATTGTTTAATATTTGTGACAAGTACACATAATAATCTCCTAAAACTATTCAAATGGCCGGTATTAGGATGGGTGACCCAAATAATTGTTGTCTTTAACTCCTTCATGCTTCACAAGGTACCTTAAGCATTTAGTTCCGCCTACATTTACAATCATTATCATCCAGTAATCCGCATTTTATAGGGAAGGCCTGTGCCTCAGTAGTGGGCATTGGTGAGTTAATAGGTTCGATAATGATTGATCGATGAAAAGAAAAAACCGATGACAAGGTTTAACCTTTTTCCCATTGAATTTCGCGCATATTTTGTCCTTAGCGTGTCCTTCACAGAGTGATCGACCGTATATACTAGTAAAAAGTACGTAAAAGTAGTAAAAAGTACGTACTAGTAAAACGAAATTGTGTGTATACACCTAGTTTGTAGCTTCTTTCAACAAAATACTTATAACTGTCTTCCATAATTTAGGGTTCCTTATTAAACAAGGACCTTATACAAACAAACCCTTATAGTTTCGGTATGTCCTTTTTAATGTTACAATTAAGTAGCTTCTATAAGGTGTTAGTGTAAACATTTAAATCAATAATTGATCCATATTAGTTTCAATAATTATAAAATATCAACTTATAGAAAAAAAGAAAACTACAAACGTGCTTTTCTTTCTTTTTTTAATGGATAATGTGCGGAACCCTTATTTATGAAAAAGCGTGAGTTCAACTTGCTCTTGGCCGGTTTTTTATTTTAATCAAAACAGTACTGCAGTTAACTGCATAGTCTATTTTAAAAACAGCGTTATATTAACTTATAGAAAAAAAGAAAACTACAAACGTGCTTTTCTTTCTTTTTTTAATGGATAATGTGCGGAACCCTTATTTATGAAAAAGCGTGAGTTCAACTTGCTCTTGGCCGGTTTTTTATTTTAATCAAAACAGTACTGCAGTTAACTGCATAGTCTATTTTAAAAACAGTGTTATATTAACTTATAGAAAAAAGAAAACTACAAACGTGCTTTTCTTTCTTTTTTTAATGGATAATGTGCGGAACCCTTATTTATTAAAAAGCGTGAGTTCAACTTGCTCTTGGCCGGTTTTTTTAATTTAATCAAAACAGTACTGCAGTTAACTGCATAGTCTATTTTAAAAACAGCGTTATATCCAAATTAGTTTGGACAGTAATATACCTATATGTACTTACATCCAGTTGATGTATGATTATTAACATCATTAATTTCAGGGTGGACCTAGACACGTTGGAAATACGGGCACGGGTTCAGTTCCCGCATTTGCACTTCGTAGGAAAGTACAGTGTTGATGGCCAGATCTTAGTCGTGCCTCTCAAGGGGAAGGGTACCATGACATCTGATGCTGGTAAGAGAAATAACAGAATTGGAATTAAACAGTAAACAATGCAGATATATTGCTAAAATGGCGTAGAGCATACGCGATTTATCTATCCCTAGTACCCTTAAGGGTTAGATTAAGCAGATGGTGTGTTCCACATACAAAGTAAAATAGAATCCCGAGTTTCTTCTCTCTTGATGAAGGGAATTCTCTCTAAGTGAAGAGCAAGACATGTAGGCCACGTATTTGGAATGAATTTCTTTCGTCAAACAAGGGGTTTAAATCTTGATTCGAGTACCTTTTTTTTTTTAAATTTACAATTAAAAAACATAATTGCATCTAATTTAAATGTCTGAAAATTTTGCTCTTCGGATCAAATTTTAATGAAGAAGTATAAAAAAATATTAGTTCCCGAAATTAAACTAGATGCCGTTACGGTACTTTCTTGATTTCTCCTTGACAACCCTTCCGGTTTTCTGTCATGTATAAAAGTAAATTAGTTTTCAAAACTCAATAAATAACTCATATTATTCTAGTTGAACTTTTTCGTATTTGTATTGATATCTAAGTTTCGAATTTTGCAAATTTCAGTTTTAGTTAAAAGGAACGGAAATGATTATCTTATGTCCATTAGTTTCCTGTAAAAATCAACTTTTGCTAGAGTCGCCATTTAGTGGAGGTGCTTTTTTGTTACTTTCTTTTTATTTTTAAATACTTCCTCATTGAAAATAAAATTTAACATGAACATGTTGTAACTACACATTTAAAGGGGCAGAAATTGATGTCTTCGTAATACACATCTATACATTCTTATTATATTTGTTTTAGTGAAAGCTAATGCTGAACTAGTGTTGAAAGCCAAAACGGAAAAGCGGGGCGGTGTCGAGTACATAAAATTCACCAGTTTGCAGACCAACATCAGCGTCAAGGACTATCATATACGGCTGGAAGGACTATTTAATGGAGACAAAGTTTTAGGTATGCATTACTTTTATTGACATGCTGTAGTATAGTGTATTCCGAGGAATTCCGCTAGATATTTTTCAAAACATTTTTTTTGCATCAAACTGCGGTGATAATATAAAATGGATTGAGAAGTTAAAAAAAAATCTTATCTGAGACGATTTTCATCAACATTATACAAATAATTTTCAATAACCATGATATTTTTGAAATATCTAGTGGTTGCTTACTTGTTTTTACTTGATTTATTAAATCAAAATTGTGCCGCCGATTGTACTGTTTATTGTTATTAATTGTTGTGTTGATTTTTCTTTTCAAGTATAATAAAGTGTTCACTCATTCAAAATAATAAAAAAGTATTTATTAAAAAAAAAAATTAAGCTTTAACCGTTTATATCTTCAAAACTACTGAACCGATTTTAATGTTTGTGGTATTTGCTAAGTTAAATCCCATCTACAGAGCACCAGGGACAAAGTGGATAGTTTAAGTATTTTTCATTAAGAATATTTCTCAATATAGCATGTTGAATGAAAAACTGATTAAATATAATAATTAAAATTAAATTAAAGCCTATGTCTAATTTGCGAAAAATACATGACAAAACATAAGGACACAAGTAGATAGATAAATATTTACAAAATTTATCACACGTGTTAGGATGCCCATATAGAGTAACAATGAGAACATTAAAAAAACAACTGGATAACCCCCTTTTTTTAAGTTATTTCAAAACAGTAACAGTATAAGCGCGCCCTTACCTTATATCTAGTATAGTTAAAAAATTTTGTTTTTTTTTTACAGGTGATGCAACTAACGAAGCTATCAACCAGAACAGAGGCGACTTCATGCGCGCAGCGAAACCTTATGTAGAAGATACTGTATCAAAACTATTTTTGGGCATGGCAAACAAAATAGTTGATGGTATACCGTTCAGCGATGTGTTTCCCGCGCCGTAATTCGTATGACACCATCACTAACAATAAGCCATTTAGTGTAATAACTGATTAATATGTCATAACACGAACACCAATGCCAATATTGACCGAATGTATATAAAAATTGTAAACATTATTGTTTTATTAACCCGAAAGTGTGAAATGCAACGCACCAGGTTTCACTCGATCGTGCTTGGCGCGGTTTAGTTAGGGGATGTAACTCGATGGCGTGCTACTTATATTTCTCTGATTAAAGATTCTATACATGTATAATCTCGCTTTTTGTGAGATCCCGTATATAGATATTATTAATATTTATGTCAAGTAAGTCAATGAACAATAAATGTAACTTCACTTTTATTTTAGTTTATTGAGAACGATCAAATTACACTTTTGACATCAAACTGATAAAAAAACAAAAATATTTGAAACGAAAACCCAAATTTGAACTTATGAACTTAATTATATACCTATAATCCGTTTACTGGGTTAGTTTTCATTTGTTTTTTTCGAAAAAAACTTAAAATATCCATAATGTCCTCTAAGTTGCCGCTATTACACCAACTTCATTTTGGCAGCCGAATATGGCAGCGAAAAATATATGCCCTGTGTATGCCGTTCCACACTATTCGTCGGTATTTATTTTAAAAATGTATGTGTAAATTTGTGTATAAAAATTAATTTCCTTTCAATAAATAATTCAAGTGTATTTAAAGTGAGTTTACGGAATCCCGCCATCGTGATCCTACAACAAGTGATACTGGAAGATGTATATCGAGATCCAAGTATTTCTGAATTGGAACTCCTAGGTAATTTTGATTCGAGATTTAGCCTTCTGAATAAGCATATTATTCGTGTTTTACTTAATTATGTCACCGTATAATTGTGAGTATTGTCAGTTTGTAATCCGGTTTCGTTAAATTATAAACTATCGCAGGTTTCGGATAAGTTATATTAGGCTGGGGAAAACTCTTTTCGCATATAGTATACATAATTTTGAAATAAATCTTTCTGGCTATACACTTTGAATCTGGCTGGTTACGGTATCATTAAAAAGTTTACATTTAAAAGAAGATAACTCTGAATTCAAATAAGGAAAATGCGTGAATCTAGCGCAGAAATTCGATACATTTTAAAAATTTATTATAGAAAAGGTAAAAATGCGACGCAAGCCGCGAAAAAAAAACTCGCAACAAGGTGACGCTATGTGTATAGTGAAATTGAAAGGGTATTATACATTATGAGCTGTTACCGCCAGGCATGACCATTAATTCTGAACTCTACTGCGAATGATGAGAATAAATCAAGAAGTTGACAGAAAGCGGTCAGAATTAATCAATAGAAGTGGTATGGTTTTTCATCTAGACAACGCTAGATCTTTTGCCACTCAGCAAAAATTAAGAGAGTTTGGCTGGGACGTGTTAATGCATCCGTCATACGGTGCCTTCAGATTTCCACCTTTTTCTTCAGAATACCAGACTAACCACTTGATTTTATTTGATCAGAAGCTCCAAAATTTCTACAGCAGTGGGATCATGTCCCTACCTACAAAATGACAAAAAGTTATCGACCAAAATGGTATCTACATACCTTCGTTTAATGTAAATAAACTTTATTAAAAAATAACTTGAATGTCATATGAAATGCAAAGAAACTTATTTCCCAACCTATTATAATAACTGTGGTAAGATTATAAATTGACGATGCTTAAAATTTTTGTTAAAAATCAGCGTCAAATAAAATCAAATGAAACCTTTATTACGTTTTAAAGTAAGTTTTCTCACCTCACCTCTATGCTGTGGCAGCGCTTAGTTTGCTGTTTTTATTACATAATTTATATTTTTTAATAGTATACTCGAATAAAGATTATTTTAAATATTTTTCTTTGACTTTGAATTTATATAATATATAAATAATTTTAAATATACTGTTAAATTAACTAATTTTATGCGTCTGATGTAATCTAGATTATGGTCCTACCATTTGATCACATTGAAAAAAGAAAATGAAAACGAAATTTTGTCCCTATTCGATTACATTCATAGGGAAGGATTGAGTTCCAGCATTTGGAACATTAGTAGTCTGGTGACGATGATGATGAAAAAAGAATGAAGTTTACGAAAATACTGTGACCTTGACTATGATAGTGATGCATTTTAAACGTCGCTCATGCCGCACTGACTGGAACTATCGCATGAATATGGCATCGTAAGTTGCTAAAACAATATTACATCCAATATAACTCGTGTTGTATTTTGAGGTATGCAATCCACTATAGAATTAGAACAGTAACTGCGATATAACGTAAAAATATTTTGGGGTCACTCAGAGGGTTGCCAACTCAAAACGTAAGATGCGTGCTAAATGACCCTTCATTATCCCACTAAACATTTCCCTAGAGTCGACGCGGGCGAAGCCGCTGGCGAGTCATCTTTCTATGCAAAAAAATAGTTCAAGAGAAAAATGCTATCAAATCGAAGTGATAGTTTACATTCTTCATTAAGACTGTTATATGGAATGTGAACGATATCTGTGAGCTCATTTCACTTATCGATAAATTAATAATAGCTAATGAAAATGTGACTGAATGTGGACCGTATCCACCAATGTGAATAAGCCAATTAGTTACCAACCTCTGCGCGCTCATCTCATTGGTCAATAAAATAATGACCCACCAATAAAAGTCAATGATAAATTAACGTTGACTGTTGATTTTTAGATATGATGCAGTTTTCATTTACGTGGCCATCATGTTGTCTCGTTCCTTGTCTTTGATAGTTTGTGCACTATCTCTCGCCATTTCGCTCTGTTGGCCGTTATTCTGGTGCACTCATGTAGTTGGCCACCCACAGCTGCTTTTATTTGGTCGGTCCATCGCATGGGAGATCTACCACGGGGTCTGGTACCCTCCACTCTGCCCTGCACTACAAGACGTTCAATGGAGTCACTTTCTTTCCTGGAGATGTGGCCAAAAAACTTCAAAATGCTGGTTTGAACGATAGCTGACAGTCTCTCCTCGATGCCAAGTTCCTCGAGTATGGAAACGTTCGTACGGAACTCAGTCCACGATACTCCGAGCATCTTTCTCCAGCACCACATCTCTAGGGCGTCGATCTTTTTCTTTTCTATCTCCCGCAGAGTCCATGTCTCGGCAGCATACAGGAAAATAGGGAAAACAAGAGTTCGAACTAATCGGGATTTCGTGGCCTTGGTGATATTTCTATTTCTCCATATCTTCTTAAGCCTGTCCATGGCACTCCTAGTTATAGCCATGCGTCGTTTGATTTCTTCGATGCATCCACCATTGTTCGTGATCAAAGTGCCAAGGTATATATATGACTGGACCACTTCACAGTTCGCAATATTAGTGACTTCTGGCGAGTTATTGTTGACGCGGTCCACAATCATCACTTTTGTCTTGCTGCGATTGACCTTTAATCCGAACTCCAGGCTAACATATTCCATCTTCTGGAGCAGTTCCTCTAAGCGCTGAGCGCTAGAGGCGAGCAGGGTTGTATCATCGGCGTAACGCAAATTTGCAATCTTGTAGCCGCCAACCGCGATACCATCCGTCCAATCCTCAAGGGTGATACGCATTATAAGTTCTGTGTAAGCGTTAAAGAGAAGTGGTGACATTATGCACCCCTGACGGACACCTGCACTAGGATGGAAGTTGTTCGATAGGATGTCGCCTGTTCGCACTGAGGCAGTTCCTTCTTCATATAATTGCCTCAAAAGATGTACTAGGTGCTTTGGTGTGCCCATTTCCAGTAAGGTTTTCCATAAGACTGGCCATTTAACAGAATCGAAGGCCTTGGAAAAATCTACAAAGCAGATATAAACGGGTTTATTAAACTCCCGTGCCTTCTCTATAACTTGGCGCACGATTAAAACTTGCTCCCTAGTTCCTTTGCCCTTCACAAATCCAGCTTGTTCTGGCGCAATCTCCTTTGACAAGAAGGACTTCAATCGCTCATTCAGGATATGAAGCAGGATTTTGCTTGCATGGGCTATGAGTGCAATAAGACGGTAATTTCCACATTTTTTCGTAGAGCCCTTTTTATGCAGAGGCGTAAAGACTGTATGCGTCCATTCTGTTGGCCATACTCCTGTCTGCCATATTCTGTTACAGATAGTATGAAATATACGGGTACCATATTCACCTAAGGCTTTTATGGTTTCAATAGGTATTCCATCTCTTCCTGTAGCCTTCCTATCTTTGAGGTGTTTGATGGCAGCCCGAACTTCAGACAGGAGTATATCCGGCTCCAGTTCTCCTTCATCGGGTGCTGTTGGTGAAAAATTGCGTGAGTGTTGATCTTGAAAAAGGGACTGACAGTAACTCCTCCATATCCCCGAGATCTTATCGAGTTCAGTAACCATTTCGCCATCACTGTCTTCAATGGCCCATGATTTTGAAGACAAAGATTTGGTGATGAATCGAATCTTATGGTATAAATCTTTGGACTCACATCTTCCAGCGTGAGTTTCGATTTCCATACAAATGTTATTTAGATAGGCATTATGGTCCCGTCTGCAGTGTGCTTGAATTTGGGCGGATATTCGATTCAAGTTTTTTACGTTGGAACCTGTAGCTTTCATCACACGCCTCTCATCTATTAGAGACAGCGTATGATCTGTCATCCAATCTGCGGGAGTAGTTTTGCGGCTCGCCTTGACCAATGTTGCCACATCGCGCCACTCGCCATGTCCGTAGGAAATGCTCACGAATTATGCGAGAATATCGTATCCTACCAGAATTAAAAGGTGTGTTAATACTTTAATACCTTCAAAGTTTAAGTGGATTTCCGATCACAATAATATGGACATGGGGAATCATGAGGTGAGATTTATATGTTCATCAACTTAGCCTTTCGTTAAATCCGTAATTATTAACGTTTTAGTCATTAGGGACCATTTTTAGGGTTCCATACTGAAAAGGTTAAAACTGAAGTCTATTACTAAGTTGTCGCTGTCCGTCCATTGGTCTGTCTGTCACCAGGCTGTATCTAATGACAGTT